TCTGCTGGTAATGCCGGGTAGGGAATTGCTCCTTTTGGTATTGCTCTCTCGCGTCCGGTATAATCAGAGCCCGCGAAGCACAACCTGATTATGCACTGGACCGTTGAGCAGTGGTTACCTGAGTATCACTGGTTTTTGGTTCACTAAGGGATGGGTAGACGTGAACCTTAAAGCACCTTGTGGACTTTTTGGATAGTTCTCTCGGGTGTCCGGAGTAGATATCATCATCTACCACCGCAGTACAACGGGCTAATGCCTAGGATCGTGCAGGACAGCGGCCGATGAAGCTGTTCTCGCCAGTGGGCAACATTCGTTATCCTTGCAAGCGACTCGGTGCGTAGCTATGTTGGGAATCGTTGATACTGTCTGCTATGTGGCTGATTATTAGTCCGACCGGAGAACGTGTTCATTTGGCTGCAAGCATTTGTCAAGGGTCGTCCTATGAGCGTGGCAGAGAGGCCGCAGCTAAGTCAACCGATAGGCGCAAACCGATCGATTCTAGGTTTGATCGCGCTGTTGTCCGGTGGATCGTGTTCAGTAGCTGTGAGTACGTACCACGGTTTCCTTTGTATAGGTAATATTTAGTCCGACCGATCAGACAAGCTTGCCTAAAGTGTTGTAAATAATCATTGCAATGACTAAAGTTTTCAGTTATAATTATGCTGCTGCTGAACCGATGTTTTGCGCTGGCGTTGTACCTTTAAATCGTGGGAAAACATTGGGGGCTGGCGCCCTCGGGGGATACCACGTGTTTCGACGCCGTAGGTGTAATATATTCATAGTGTTTTCCTCTTAACGTAATCAAAACATACTGGTAGCTCACAAACCAATCTGGGCGCTCGACCGGCACAAAGTTTATCAAGTGACTTTCAACGGCTACACCACCTGTAAGTGCATATTCCCATCATTTATGCACGGTAGATATTGGGCTATTAGTAAATACATGTTCCTTTAACCCCTCAGCCTACTAAACTCCCCATGTAGGTTACGACTACATAATAGGTTAAAATTTCTACATGCACGTACAGGCCGCACTACAGCTCGCCACTTACTGGCTTTAGCAAGTATGATTACCAGAACTAGCACTTTTAGCCAAGGAACAGCACTTCTAACAGAAGTATCCCGAAAAATGGCACATGTCAATTTGTTACCACCTTAATGCGTGATAGATCCTCAACTCTTACTACATATACATTGATTTAACCTTGAGATTACTAATATCCCCTTATAAGTCGAAGATTGCGCACTAGGCTAAAATGTCATACATGTATGTACAGGCCGCATTGTAGCTTACCACCTACTGGTCTTAGCAAGTATGGTCACTAGAATTAGCATTCCTAGCATAGGCACAGCACTTTCAACAGTAGTATACTGGAGATCAAGGAAAACGGCCCCAAACCCGACTCCAATCAGTTTCATTTCTGACCAAATATTAGCAGCAGTACTACTAGCCTCGAGTTGAGAGTGCGAAAACCAAGGCAAACGCAGCTTTGCTCAGAACCCCAATCATGTACTTACCCGAAATAGTTAAACCCAGATTCACATTCCTTGTTGAGACCAAGGGGATAAGAGCCTTAGTGTTGGCTTAGTCAGCGTCACCGCTGACAAATAGTGGCATCAGTGCTAGCACCAGTACTATTACACTTCTTGTTGAAATTGAGGGGATATGAAACGTGCGCTGACTTTAACCAGCGTCAATTCTGACTTACAATACAGTCTGAAATAGTACCAGCAAAAATATCACTCAACTGCACTCTAATATTAGTATTAGAAATAGCAGTAGTGGTAGTAGCAGTACGAGCCCTGGCTTCCTAAAATCAGGCTAAACACCTACTTAGGTGAGTGAGGGTAGACAGTGCAGTAGTACCCGCGCAAAGTCTACTGTCACTAAAGATTAAGTTAGGCGGTGTTTTCTGGCTGAATCTGGAGAGAGCGGCTTACGCCTGATCCTTGCTCGGTCACCTCGACTTTATCTTGCCACCGGTTAAAAGCGGATGAAGGTTTAGAGTGCGGTAGATGGCGGCTCGTCTACTTTCACTATACCCGGCCACAGTCGCCGTCCCTTCTCTCGGACAAATGGTGGACATCACCGATTACGGTGGTCGAACGTACACAATCACAACATATAATATCAGATTATCAGAGCTACAGGGGTGGCAACTGACTCAACGACGAGGGGCGCACCTGATCCATTCTGAGACGACAATTTGTCAGGAATGGCCACGCCTATCTGGGAGTTGAAGTGACGCTGCGTCTGGTGATGACATCGCGTGTAGACTTGTTATAACTGATGACCTTAATTACGACATATCACGTTGCAGGACAACAGTTTGCTCGAGTGACCAATGTAGCGATTTGACGGTCACTGGGTCATTTGATGATCACGTGAAAATTTCGCGGCGGCACGGGATTTACTTTTCATTCAGTAAAAAAGAGCAGGCCTCGCGAAGTCTCCTTATTCATCTGAGAGCTTGAGTATATGCAAACATTGATCTGATGAGTTAAAATTCGAGGTCCAGATATTTTATCTCTTTCATCAGCCTCCAAAGAAGACGAAGAAGAAGGGACGAGTTCATGGATGGAAGTATATTAAGACTGATGTTGAGGAAACACTCTCGGTTCCATCATCATATTAAGGTGGCGGTTCTTTCTGCAGGCTGTCACTTCTTCCGCCTTGACGCCTGTCTGGAGTTGTATCAGTGCTTGACACAAACTTTGACGTGCCTGTTGGCTGCTGATTAGTGTTGTCCTCTCCACGATTAATCGCCAGAGGACTGGCATGACAGTTGACTTCTCTACGGCCGTCTCCACAGACGCACTGACGTGCAGAGACTGTGTTCTTGTCTGGTATATTTTGAAGAACGTAGTTTTCGGTATTTCTTCAGGAGGTCATCGGAATCCACACAGAAAATAAAACGACCGGAATGCAGATAAATACTCGGTCATGAACTGTTGGAGTGGCGACCAGGTGCTGGACAGATCACTGAAGAAGCCTTTTTCAACACTCACGCCATGTCCTGTACTTGTTGCCTTTGAATATCCTGAAATTTATAAGCACAGACCGACATTTGATGTGCATATTCGGCTTTTGCCTATAAAACTCACTTCTGACTGACTTACCCAAAGTTGGCGATTAATCTCGGGTTAAATTAAATTGCCATACTTTCAAAACTGGCGTGCCTACCAGAAAGCACACGGAACTGCTGGGGGATCCACTGATGAGCCAGATCCCATCTGAGCTGTGTCATACAGCGGTAGAGGGAAGAGTTCTACTTTGGGTCCAAGATTAGCACGTGAAAGCCCTATCTATCTGTACTACAGGATCGGGTGTAGTACAGAGCATACAGTCTGGACAATACAAAGGAAAGGAAAGGAATTATAAATAAAGTTCAGAAGTTCAGTTTGGCGAGTATACGCGTACTTTATCGCCTTCGCTTATCGACCACCACCCCCATTCCCACTACTCACTTGTCCGAAAAGACGAACACGTTAAACTCGCCCCCAGTTTCCATATAAATGTAAGGCCTGATGAGAATTTGTCGAAAGTACGCGTATGCTCGCCAAACTGGACTTCTAAATTTTCTGATGGGAATTTTCGCGACTTTAAAAATAAAGTTTATAAAAGTAGAAGAAACAGGAATAACTACTCAATAATCTAATGTTTGTCAAGAAAACGGCACGCCATAATTAAGATTGGCAATTATGCAAATATTAAGAAATCACTAAGTGAAACAATGACTAACTAGAAAACGTAAACAAAAGTAGGCTAAACTGACTTAACTTAAAAAGTAATCTGAAACTAAAATGAAAATAGTAAACATAATAATGAACTTAAAACTAAACCGAAACCTGAACTTAAATATAAATAAGCTAATAAACCAAAGAAAATAAACTAACGTTAATCTGTTGCACGTGTTAATTGAAAGTGTGCGCGGCGCTTTGCGCCGCGAACTATGCTAATCTAACTCCAGAACGGTAAGTTAGACCTCGGGTAAGTTGAAGCAGACGGCCTCCTAACCGCCAATTTTTTCAGGAATATCAAGAAACCCAATAAATTATAAAGTATAAGTAAGTAAAAAATGTCCAAATTTGTCACATCT